TACTCCTTTGTGGGCATATCTGCATGTGGGCAGACCCACCTGGAGATGAGACGAACAGAGGAGAGGTGTCTCGGTTCCTAAGACCATCAGAAATGTGTTTTCTGATGGTCTTAGGTGACCCCTGTGAAAGGATTGTTCAACCCCCCAAAGGGGTCAAAACCCACAGGTTGAGAACCGCTACCCTATGGGTTGTGTGGATCACAGCCTAGAAAGATTTTCATAAGTAGGAATTGATGGAAATGGGTTTTATAAAGCATTTGAAAGTTTAATCAGCAGTTAAATTAAACAACAAAAATTTCTGTGCAGTTGATTTCAATATATGATATTGAACTGTGAACCAATAAAGTTTTCATTACTGTAATATTTGCAGAAGCAGATAGCAGGTCTTTGTGTCGTGTTGCCATGAAGGTTTAATTGCCAAAATTTTGTCAGTATTTGAGTGCAAGAGCCCTGGTAGTCTAGTGGACAATTCATTGGGCTACAAACTGCAAAGTCAGTGGTTCAAATCCCTTGGGAGAAAGATTAGTCTGTCTGTTCCTGTAAACATTTAATGTCTTAGAAATATAAATGACAGCTCTACTCTGTCCCATAGGGTTGCTATCAATCAGAATCAACTCAATCGCAGTGAATTTTGGTTTGACATAAGTACAAATCATTTGAGCCACTCAAGACCATAATCAACAATTATCAGATGCGTAATTAGTTGCTAGGCTCACATATTTAGTAAACAGTTACTGAGTGCTCAATAATAATGATTAACACTTATGAATCCCTTGAGTTAGAATCAACTCACCAGCAGTGATCATGGATCATGCCCTGGCATGTATCAGACATTTTCATTCAATCCTCCGGTTGGCACTGTGAGGTAGATATTATTAACATTGATCTTTTTACCTTTGAAAACATGATAACTTAGACAGGTTAATTAGCCTCTGCTAGGTCATTTAACTAATACATTGTAGCATCAGGTTTGAGCCTCAGATGGTCTCACTTCATGTTTTTTAATCACTAGTCCTATTGCCTACTATGTATTGGGAATAACACCATAAAAGAGAATAGAAAGAGAGAGACAGTGCCTATGTTCACTGAGCTTTCTGTCCAGACATGCACAATCAGAGAAAGCTGGAATGGAGCTGGGTGGAGGAGTGGGGCACTGATTGAAGGGAATGGATGTCTAGCAGAAATAAGAGTGAGCCTACGTGTTCTAACTGATCTGTCTGCCACTTCTCTGTCCCGCTCACCCAACTTCCAGGCTTGTCCGTCCTCCAGAAAGTCCTCGACACAGCTGCTGAGAAGAACTGGCAGGTGACAGCCGTCAACATTTTGACAACCACAGAGGAAGGCTACCGGATGCTCTTTCAGGACCTAGAGAAGAAAAAGGAGAGGCTGGTGGTAGTGGACTGTGAATCCGAGCGCCTCAACGCTATCCTAGGCCAGGTACGGAAGGCAGCAAGAGCATGGGGTGGGCGCTGAGGCCAAAGGGACCAGAAACAGAAAGAGAATGAGGAGCCTTCAGTTGTTATTGTTTGGTTCAGCCAATCTTTTTTTTCTTTCATTCTGGTCACCAGTGTGTATTGAACACCTACTAGGTGCCAGGCACTGGGGATCTAGTAGGGATTCAGGGAGATGATGTTTTAACTTTCACGGGGTTTATGTAGATAAAAATAGCAAATAAACATTGTGTGATGACATAAAAATGCAAAAAACACGTAGGCTACTAGGAGAGTACCTATGAATGGGGTGAAGAGAAGGCCAGTGTGGGACATGGTAACAAGATCAGGATGCCAGCAAACAACAATGTCACTGTATTGACGGTGTGGCCAAATTACTCATCTGTTTCTCGGTTATTCTGCCAGTAAAATGGGGTCTAACAACTTATCTGATGACCTCCCAAGGCCTGGGATGAATGGAAAGATTGTCCAGTGGATTGGAGAGTAGCAAGTATAGCTGTTTGTATCACCATCATCATCAATATTAAAGATAACACCTATAATTTCTTAAGAGCCCCTGCTATTGCATATACATAACATATATGCAAAGGTCCTCACAACATCGTTCTACAGTAGATAATACTATTAATCTCACTTTATAGACAAGTAAACTTCTGAAAAGTATGAAATTTCTCCCAAGCCTAAGAAGATACAAATACAAATCTAGGCGGTTCTGCTTCTAGAGTTCGTGGGCGGCTAGAGTGGGAGGAAATCTGCTGAAAGCCCATGTACGTTTGTGTACTGAGGGTTCGCTGTGTGGCAGACATGATTCAAACTCCTGCAGACAGAGCTGGGGGAAAGCAGACATTATTCTGCCCTTCTCCATGTAGGAAGAGGAGAGACAAAGATTAATGGAATGACAAAGTAAATAAAAGCACATTTACAGTTGTGTTTAGTATTCTGAGAGGAGCCCTGATCAAATAGTGGTTTTCCTTTGGGCTGCTAACCATAAGGTCAGAAGTTCAAAACCACCAGCCACTCTGTGGAAGAAAGACCGGGTTTTCTACTCTACTAAAGAGTTAGTCTCAGAAACTCCTAAGAGCAGCTCCACCCTATCTCCTAGGGTGGCTATGAGACGGCAGTCACTTGCTGACACTGAGCTGTTGGTTTTCTCAAAAGTTTTAGTACTCCGAAGGATCTATCTGTGGTCAATGCAGCAAGCTTTCTACTATAATTGGTTTCTATATCTGAAAAATGGTGATATTCATAGCCTCTACTTCATAGGGCTTTTCTGAGGATTTGATGAACTAATACGTGTAAAACTCTGAAAACAGTACCTAAGATATATAAAAAACTTACTAAGTATCAAATTAACTAGGAGGGATCGAAGTAGAATTTTACCATGTTGGATGGTCAAGAAAGGCTTCCCTGATGGAATGATCAGTTTGCTGTGGTCTAGAGAGGCTGAAGTGAAATAAAACAGATGAAAGATGTGAAGATGAAGACTAGTTGGCACCAGGGAGATGAGAACTCAAGTGTTAAAGACACGTTGTGATTTCGAATAATTTTGTACTTGGAAAAAACAATAAAACCTGGTTTTTATTTCAATTGTTTTATTACAACTTGAAGATAGCAAAGGTTAAAAAAAGAAAGGAAAAGTTAGATTCTCTGATGATGATTCAGAGAAGATTATTTCTGTTTTTCTTTGCACATCTTCAAACTGGTTCAAAACAGTGCCGTTGTAGCTAGTGGAGGATACACTTGCTACCAAGGCTCTTGTACAGGGGGTTTTAACTCCAGTTGAAAGCCAGCAGCAGGGCCCCCCATCAAAGGGCATGGCCCACACATTCGAAGGGTGCAGTTGGGCAGGAGTTTTCAGTGGGTCACTGTGGCCTGTTTGCTTGTATCCAAACCCCACTCACAGGATATTTGGTGGCTAGGCAATCTGTGTGATTGAGCCGTTTTGAACTATTTCAAAGCCCCGTGTCTTCGTAGTTGGTGGAGAAGGGTCTTAGCCCAGTGTGAAGAGGGTGGTTGTCAACCTCCTAGCGCTAAAGAGGTTTCTCTTTAGTCGGGAAGGAGCTGGGGTTTGCGTGTTTATGCTACTGATTGAATCCAGCCTTGCTGTTGTTAGGTTCTGTCAAGTCACAGCTGACTCCCTGTGACCTTGTGTGCAACAGAAGGAAGTACGGCTTTGTCCTGAGCCATCTCAGACGTGGGTCCCACTGTTTGAGCCCGGGTTGCAACCGCTGTGTCAGTGCTTCTCATTAATGCTCAAGCTGTTCTTCCCTAACCCTCTTTTACCAAACAAGATGTCCATATCCAGGGACTTATCTCTCCTGCTAACACGTTAAAAGCATTTGAGACAAAGTCTCACCAGTCTCACTACTAAGGAGCATTCTGGCCATATTTCTCCCACAATAGATTTGTTCATTTTCCTGGCAGTCCATGATATGTGTAATATTCTTGACCTGGACCATAATTCAAAGACATCCATTCTTCTCCAGTTTTCCTTAGTCATAGTCCAGTTCCCACATGTACATGAGGCTATTGAAAATATCATGGGCTGGATCAGGTGCACCTTAGTCTTCAACGTAATCTATTTACTTTTTAACATCTGAAAGAGGGCTTTTAAGGGTCTATCCTTTAGTGTGGGCCCACGTGGCTGCTATGTCTTACCCAGACACAGGTCAAAGGGGCTCACATCTCTGGTTCCTTATTTGATATAATTTCTGTTGTTCCTTCTATCTTTCTTAAAGGGTAAAATGGTCCCATTTCAAGCAGGTCTTCATCGAGGAGCTGAATGAGCATAAAGAGGGATTTTGACTCCATAAAACAAGCTGTTTTCTTTTAACATTCTGTAATTAATTTTGTGATTTTTATGAAATGACACACACGAGCTGGTTTTCAAAACACTAAATCAAAGATCTACTTACACCAATGGTTCCTGTCATTAAAAAACACACACAGTAATAATTGCTTTACATTTTACAGTTTATAAATTGTGGTCACGTTAGGGACAGATTCTTGTGTTCAGCTCTGGGCTCTGTCTCCCACTGATCCAGTTGGCCCACTGACCTGGTTTAAGAAGCTAAGGAGGCAGCGAGCACCTCTTTTTTCTATTATTCCATTGAACATTCTCCTCTTTCTGAGAATCCAATTGATTGTGCAGTTCATGAGCAGATGCTGTAAACTCATCAGTTTGAGTCAGGGGTCTTTAATTCCTCTCTGCTCCTCAAAATTAAAGCCTGTGCTCACTAAAGAACAAGACCTTTTGCCGATCATTATTCCTTTGAAAGCACATGTGTGTATTCAGATATACTAGCTAAGAAGTATATTTTGCAATCACTTATGTACAATGCTATATAATTAAAGACAGTAATTCTAGGTACTTGACAACATTACAGAGCTTGTTAATGGACCTCAAGACCCCTGGGGCCCCCACAGGAAATTCGAGCAGCAGCTCAGCATTCACCCAGAGGTCTTAGCAACTCAACAGGATGGAGATTATGAAAGCCAAGAATTCTTCAAGAGGTTAACCACATGTTCCCTACTAATCAAAGTACAACTCAGGCCAGCAAGAATTGTGTTCGCGGAGGTAGAAGCTCTCTGGAATAGAAGCAGAGGAATTAAATTTAGTTTTTTAGAGAGCAGCAGAGTATAATGGGTAAACGTAGATTCTGAAGCCAGTTCAGCATGGACAACTCCTGGCTCTATTATTTACTAGATTTATGATGTTGAGCCAAGTTTTAACCTTTTATATGGTCAGTGGCTCAAAACTTCTAGTCACACTGTAGTCTTCCTACTCGACAAGGAAGTCCAGACTCAGAAATATTACATAGGGTCACCATGAGCCAGAGTCAACTTGATGGCAGTGTGTTTTATAGGTCTTAAGTTCCTGAACAGTTAATGACAATAAGAATCATATCTACTTATTGAAAGCTCTTGTGAAGATTTAAAAATTGATACACTTAACAGAGCAGCTCCTTCAGTACATGATAGATGGAAGTGTTTGCCCATTTTTGCTATTCTTGGTACCAATTCATATTGGCTTCTTGAATTACTTTTCAATTTGGGGATCCATGTAGTCACCTGTAAAATAGAAATAAAGACCCCTGACCTATAAGATTGTACAAAGAAGAGATAGAAGTCAGAGATGTGCTGAACTATAAGGAAGTATTCTTACTACATGGATGCCTTGCTTATATTGCTCTAGAAAAATATAGTAGCCATAGCAGTGGCACAGGCACTATGACAAGTCTTTTCTATGTACAAGGGGCTTCAAAAGTTCATGGGAAATTCCATTCCTCTACAAATTCCTTGAAGCTCCATCGTGTAACCCCACTGACTCCTCACATAAACCTATATAACAGCATCTGCCCATTACCCTGTGTTATAGATAAAGAAACACAGCATTAAATTTCCCCAAAGTCTCCCAGCCCAGCATACAAAAAAATTGAAGTCCACCCCAATTTGTTCTGATAGCTGGCCTCCTGAGCCATGAGGAGGCTCCCCAGTGATCAGTGCTAAGTGCTCCTCTGCTAGCCAAAAGGTCACTGCTCAAACACATCCGCCATGACCCTGGAGAAAGATGCAGCAGTGTGCTTCCATAAAGACTGACAGCCTGGGGAATGCTATGGGTTGTTTTACTCAAATGTGCAAAGTTTCTATGAGAAGAAATCCCCTCTACTCCACTGTGTGTATAAACTGTATTAGAACCATAGACATAGCTGTGAGAAAATAAATTTCTGGTTGATAAAGCCACCCACTGTGGTATTTCTGTTTTAGCAGCAATAAGAAAGAAAAGCAGTCCTTATTCATTAAATATTTGTTGGCTGGATTGATTAACCCTAGAAGGTTTTATAGAGAAGTTGGTATTACATAGAGTCCTGCTCTAAAGGATATGAGAAAAAGAGAGTGTGGGAGAGAATCTTCCAGACAAAAAGATCCTAAAGCCAATCATAAGGAAATGATCTTTCAGGGATGGGGGCAATGAGGTGACAGGCTCTATGCAGAATCAGGCATTCCCTTTGTAGCATCTCCCTTATTTTTTAACTTTGTGTATATTTGTCTGGATATCTCTGTCTCCTCCTTCTAGACTGTAAGCCCCAAGAAGGCAAGAATCATGCCAGTTTCATTGGTACTGTATCTCCAGTACAGTGCTTGGCATGTACCAAAAGTCCGAATGAAACTCAATGCCATCAAATAGATTCTGAATCATAGCGGCTCTGTAAGACAGAGTAGAAGTGCCCCTGTGGGCTTCTAGGAATGTGTCCTTTAGGGGAACAGAAATACTTTCTTTCAAGGAGTGACTGATATATTTGAACAACTGGTCTTGTGTTTAGCAGCTTAATGTATACCCCACTAGACCAGTAAACAATAAACATTTGTAAAAGGAAGGTAGGAAATGAGAGAAGGTAGGTCAATGTGTAGGTAAGGGAGGAGGTGGGTAGAAAGGTTGGTATAAGACTGAATCATATGAGATAGATGATTTTTGTAGGTTAATTATCCGTTAGTCCATTATCAACTGTTTCCTGATCCAACCTGTAATATCATCTTGCAGAGACTGTATTTTTTCAGCTCTTGAATGTAGTGGGATTTGAAATATCTTTATTTATTGTTTCATGTTTATTAGAAGCCAAATGGGTTTTTGATAAAGGTTGAAAGGGCAGCAAACCATTTGACAAGAAAATGAAAAAGTAATGAAGAATTATTAATAAAACTATCATCCCAATCGTATTTGAGCTCTGTGGTCTGGAACTCCACAATCTATCCGCTGTTTCACAGCATTCAGTGTTTGTGCTGGCATTTAATTATTGCTCGCATTCAAAAAATATGGGAGCTGCTACACACATACATCCAATTAAGCAGATGTCTGAATGTGGACTTCAATAACCTCGAAATTTACTTCAGTTAGAGAAGAAACCCAAAGGCTTCTCATATATATTTTGTGTGTCCTTGTAATAGTGCAGGGCAAGAGCCAGTGAATGGTGGGCACTAATTCCAACTTGATGATGAAAAAAGTGATTAAAGTGATCAAGTGTATTTGCAGACTGAGCAAAGACTAAGACATCAGGTGAGAATAAGCCTGGGGTCTCAGTTGTCCCTGGCTAGACAGTATCTGGCCAGTCAATTCTCTGGCTGTTCTCTAACACAGACATTTTTTCCTACTGCCCAAATCTGGAGACACCAGGCACTCAGAACAGAGGGCTGACTGGGGATCCAAGTGCTCAACAAGCATCAGGTTGAAAGGCTCAAAACAGTCAGGTTCCCCAGTGGCCCCGAACAAGTCGTTTACCCTCTTGGGCCTCAACTTCCCATCTGTAGAGTGATTAGTTGGATCTGGTCATCTTAACATTCCCCTCCAGCTTCTGGGTTAAGCAATGCACTTGTGCCTGTGTACACCTATCCAATTCAGGGAGAAAGGTACAAAACTGCATCAGAACATGAAGCTGCATCTAAGCACTGTTCATGCAAAGAGTTGAAGGTCAAGAACTAGGGTGTCAATTGTCCACCAACCCATCCACCTATCCACCACCTGCCTAGCAAAGTGGCAAGTGTTGTCATGACAATGAAAGGGATATAATGCAGCATTAGCTCCTCACTAAGGGAAGAATCTTCATGTCCAGGGAAAGCTTTATAGAGAAAGGAGTACACTAAGGTGAGTATTTCACCTTTGGGTCCTTGGGACTGTGGTAAAATCACTCTACCTCTGCCTGATTCCAAATCCTGGCACCTGCCACTTTATAGCTGAGTGATCTTAGGAAGCCTCTGTTCTTATTCTAGAATGTGCTTTCTTCCACGATACATTGGGATACTATAGGAGGAGCACTTAGAACAGAGCTCGAAATTAATCTTAGTTGCTATTATCATTGCTGTTGTTATTGTTGACAAATCCTTTCCCTTTGTATTTTGTAGATTATAAAGCTAGAGAAGAATGGCATTGGCTACCACTACATCCTTGCTAATCTGGTGAGTAGAGCACAGCAGGCTCTCAGCTCAGGGCCCTTGTGCATGAGCCTCTAACTTGCTTCCATATTCACAAACTGGTGTGCATTTTATGATGCAAAGAACCTTATTACGTAACTTCAGCCTTGGAGAAAGTTCCTCCCACTCCTCCTTCTCCACTTGTCAAATGACCACACAGAGTTAGTGTGCTCCTGGGATTCAGCGTGCCTGTAGGCAGGTCTTCCACAGTCATCATAACTTCAGTCACTCAACTTTGTAACATGGTCAAAATCACCACATCTTTGAATGCCTATGAGATGTTTGCACCACACTGCTTTGAGCCTCTAGTTTGACACAATGATAGTCTGTGATTGTTCCTGATGCGGCTAGTTAGCATGCAGTCGATGCTGACTCCTGGTTTCCATGTGTACAAAGTGCAATTATGTGTCATAGTGTTTTGAAGACTGTGACCTTTCAAAAGAACATCACCAAGTCTGTCTTCGAAGGTGCCTCTGAGTGGGTTTAAACTACCAATATTTGGGTTAGTAGTTGAGCATTTACTTTACCATTTATGCCACCTATCCTATTTTTTTTTTGAACATTTTATTGGGAGCTCTTAAAACATTCCATACATCAATTGTATCAAGCATATTTGTACTTATGTTGCCATCATTATTTCCAAAACATTTTCTACTTGAGCCCTTGGTATAAGCTCCTCTATTTTCCTCTCCCTTACCCACACTCCCACCCTTGTGAATCCTTGATCAATTATATATTGTTTCATTTATTTATTTATTTATTTCATCTTTTGCACTGCATCACCCACAGTTCTATTATCCGTCCCCTTTGGGGGTGTCTACATATCCAATTTTGTGATGGGTTCCCCCTTTCTCCCCCTTCCCCCTCCCCAACCATCCCCCTACCCTCATGATATCGCTACTCCCACTACTGTTCCTGAGGAGTTTATCTGACCTGAATTCCATGTGTTGAGAGCTCTAATCTGTACAATGTGTGTTCTCCAGTCTAGTCAAATTTGTAAGGTAGAACTGGGTCATGGTAGTGGTGGGAAGTAAGCATTTAGGAACCAGAGGAATGATGTGGGATTCCTTGGTGCTACACTGCACCTTGGTTGAATCATCCCTTCCTGATAACCCTTATGTCGGGGGATATCCAATTATCTACAGATGGGCTTTGGGTCTCCACTCCAAAACCACTGACTCACATCAATATAGTTGTTTATTTTGGATCTTTTAATACCTGATACCTGATCCTATTGAAACCTCATTATCACACAGGCTGGTGTGCTTCATCCATGTGGGCTTTGTTGCTTCCCTGCTGGATGGCTGTTTGTTTAACTTCAAGTCTTTAAGACCACAGTCACTATATCTTTTGATAGCCAGGCACCATCCATTCTCTTCACCACATTTGCCTCTATACCCATTTTGTCCTCAGCAATCTGATCATGTCAGGAAGGTGAGTATCAAAGAGTGCCAGGTTATCAGAACAAAGTGTTTCTGTGCTAAGGAAGGCCTGTGTAGAGGCCCAAAGTCCATCTGCTATCTTAATACTTAACATGTAAATATATGCACATTGGTCTCTATCCCTTTCATTATAAAGTACTATGTTTACATATATACATGCCTATAGCTCTACCTCTATAAATAGCTTTTGCCTCCTAGTTCTTTCCTCTGCTTCCTTTCACCTTCCTCTTATCCTGCTATCATGTTTACCCTCCATTCAGCTCTCAGTAATTCCTCTCGGATATATTGCACTTGATTAAGCCCCACCAGGCATTGTACACGCCCTCCTTGCCATCAATTTTAGATCTCTTGTTATTCCCTTAGCTCTGAGTTTGTTGGCTCCCCACTCGCCCTCCAAACCCCCTCTTCTGTCATGTCCCTTCAGAACTTCTGGTCCCTTTGTTTTCTCCTCAGGATTATTCATCCTGCCTATCTTATATAGACAAACATAGACATACCCTACTCTTGACAGTTCATATCAATGGAATTATACAATGCATAGCCCTTTGTGACTATGCAGTGCTTTCCAGCACCATCCATGTTGTAGCATGTGTCAGCACCTCACTCTTTTTTATCACCAAATAACATTCCATTGCTTGGACACACTTCCTTTTGTTTAACCATGTATCAGTGGATGGACATTCTGATTGTTTCCACTTTTTGACTACAATTAATAATGCTGCTATGAGTGTGTGAGGGTCAAAAGAAGAGGCTATAAATAGAGGACCAATACACTTTACCTAACCTTAAGTTCTGCCCTTGTTTTTCTGGCCTGGTATCCAGTGCTAGACAGATTCTTACTGTACCCTCCTTTCCTCTTCAAATTTTCTTCTCCTTGGTCATTCCAGCATTTCAAGGTTAAGACTGGTAGCAGAGCATACCAACTGTGATAGATTAATTTAGACAGAGTGTCCCTGGGTGGTGAAAACTGTCAATGAAATCAGCTGCTAAACAAAAGGTTGGTGGTTCAAGTTCACCGAGATGCACCTTGGGAAAAATGAAAACAAAGGTTTGGTGGTGATCTACTTCCAAAAAAAAAAAAAAATCGATAGAAGCCCTACAGAGCACAGTCTTCTTTGACATACAGGGTGGGTAGAGGAATGGGGCTTCCAAAATGTTATGAAAAAAATCTATTATCTTTCATTCTCTTTTCCCAGGAACGCCTTGAAGCCTTCCTTGTACATGATTTGGAGTCAACTCCACAGCCTCTGAGGCCAATGAAATTTAGATTCAGATGTTAAGGGCCCAGAGGCGTTTGTATTTTAAATGGTGGTAATGTTCTAGAGACTTGTTTTCCCCAAAGGAGACATTGTTGTGAGGAGCGAGCCCTGGCACCGCCAGGACCCAGATCTTCAGTGCTAGACTCCACCTAAAGCTCATTTACTTGTAGGGAAATAGAAACATCCAGAGGGTCTGACTTAACCAAGGTCATACAGCAAGTCTGTGATCAAACCATACCTAGCATGGGTAGCTGGCAGCATCCAATGTCTTTCCCATTATTCTAGGATATCTCTTGGCACCAACCTTGTGGATGCCCTGCTGTTAAAGAATGCACACACCCAGGGTGAGGACATGTATAATTACCTCTCGGGGGAGGATAGAAATTACACATCAGTATCCTCAAAGCCACTGAATGACCCCAGGTAATTACATTGCCCATCCTCATCTGTTGCCCAGCGACCTCTCCGTCACAGCACCACTAAGCAGCCCTTTGGCTTTCTGTCTCCTTCTAACCTGCATTTTTCTTCTTCTGACCTAATGAGCTCTCAAACCCTTACAACTGCCAGCTAATAAGAGGCAAATTGCATATGCCATCCCAAAACAAAAGACTTGCATGTTCCAATAGATTAGTTGATAATTAGGCTTCAAATGACTAATTAATTCCAGTTTGAAACATAGTCGGGTGTGTGGTCAGTGTTTCTCTTCCCCCTTCAGAGGCATAACGCAATTTATAAGATGCTAATTTTTAGAAATTCTGCCTCATAATTAGCCTGCTGTTGCAGGGATTGACCCCTCTTTGAGAGTGTTTGTGATGAGGGTGTAATGATAGAGGAAGACACCACGGAAGCCTCTGAAAGGTCTAAGCCCAGAACGGGCTACACTTGTGTTTTGTAGTTCTTTCCATCCCTGCCAGATGCCTGACCTTCAAAGTCGCCAGCAGCCTGCCCTGGCAGCAGTGCTTTGGAGTCTGCTGGGAAAAAGGAAGAAGGAGATGACTGGACTGATGATTGAAACAACAGCATTTTGAAAAGAAAGAGTTTAAATAAAATAAAAAAGCACCTTGCTTTTGTCCAGAAACTCTTCTGTGGTCTTGGGTAACCTGAGACTTCCTCGGCTCTCGGTTTCCTCATCCATCACGTAGGCACAGCAGCTCCTGCTGTAGCTGCTCGCAGTGTCATTGATGGAGAGCCAACATGTTGACAAATCGTTGCATGCTTCTTGTTGTTGTTGTTAGGTGCATATCAAGTTAGCTCTGACCCATGGTGACCCCGTGCTCAACAGAATCAGCAACTTAACCTGTCACTCTTCACCAAATTCACAATGAAAAATTAAACACACACACACACACACACACACACACACACGACCTGTAGACTCCTGTAATGTGTCTTCAGAGTCTGTTTGGAAAGCATGCACTAACAATTAAATGCTTTTTGTCATTGGGGTTACAAACACAAATACCCAAATCATGAAGCAAATAAAATATCATTGAAACACATAAAAGCACAGCATTTTTAAAGTTTTAGAGAGAATTAGCTGACCTCTGAGAATTCAAACAAGGCCCTGTCGGCCCAGGTTGAAAATGCTAAAATGTTGCTTGCTCCTCAGTGTGGGCCACATGGAACCTCCTGGGAGAGCATTACAGCACTGGCTCCCAATGACACTCCAATAGCAGCATGCTCCCAGAATTCTCCTGAGGTCACCAAAGTGGAATTCGTCATCCCCATTATGCAGATGTGAGAACCAAGGCTCACAGATGTTAATGACTAAAGCACAAATGAGGATGCAAATAGAGTTCAGCTTGGAGGACTCTGAGGAAAGCCAAGCAACATGGGTGCCAGAAGAGGAAGACCAGCTGAACTCATGCCGAGCTTCTAGAGTTCCTTCAACCTTAAGAGATCATAGCAATAGTCACGATGTCAATTTCTGCGATTGGCCTCATGGCTGCTATTTCCAAAATCAATGAAAAAGCCTTAGGTGTATACCCATTAAATCCTCAAAGTTGCTCTCTAGATAAAGAGGATTCTCCTTTTTCCAGTTGAAGAAACTGAGGTTCAAAAAAGTTAAGTGACTTGTCTAAGGTCACAACGTTTACAAAGTGGTAGAGTTCAGCTTCCCCTCCAAGTCTCTATCTGCAAAGACTACGTTTTCACAACTGTGCCATTGTATCCACTGAGCATGGGGTGGGGGTGGGGGGTGTGGGAGAGACTATTAACAAGCTGGCTTAAGTGTCAATCTCATCTACATGCCAGCCGTAACGTGTAATTCCAGCTCAGGTTCTCA